CGCGCTGTGATGACGTCACATACGCGCTTTCGTCGACCGCGCTTTTGTGGAAGGCGGTTTTGACGGGTCACGGTTGATGGTACATGGTCAATCCACCAGCCAACTTTGCAGCAATTCTGAAACAAATCTAGGAAATGATGATCCTATGTAACGGGGTAGGGGGTGGTTTATAACTTAAAACACAGTTGTTGTTTTTTTTCTTTTAGCTTTTTGTTTGATTCCAATGAACAATTCCTGAAGGTGTTTAGAAAAACCACTCACTTTAAAATCCCCAGTAGCAATCAAGATAACAAAAGAACTGAAGCTGCTAATGGAAAGAATTAAAGAAGACTGAAAAGAGCTAGCAGGTTTGCCTTTCTTTCTCAAAATGTCCTTTTTTAAAAAACAGAGCGTGACACACATTTTCAGCCCAGTGTGTGTTTCACTTTGCAAAGCTTAATTCAAGTTCAGATTAGTTGATCATTGTAGTGGAAAACACAAACCACGTTGGACACTGAAGAAACTCAAGGGCAATGATGTCTTCTAGCATCCTTTCAAAATACAAATCCTAAAGCTACAGGCCAATGCTCACAGACATCGAGTGTGTGATCCTATTGCACAGCTAAGTGAATCCACAATGTGCCACAGGACAAACCAGCCAAGGAAAAAACTCAGAAACGGAGTCCATTGAGCAGATCCACAGTTGAAAACTGGCAAACAGCCCCATGGTTTTGCTGAGCAACCAAACGTTCATTGTTCTAAGAAGGGTTTTCTAGAGCAGAGATTCCCAAACTTAGCAACTTTAAGACTTGTGGACTTCAACTCCCAGAATTCTCCAGCCAGAGCTCTGCTGGCTGGAGAATTCTGGGAGTTGAAGTCCACAAGTCTTAAAGTTGCTAAGTTTGGGAACCTCTGTTCTAGAGAGACCACTGATCCAGCCAATAGGATCTAGAGCCGAGGTGGCACAGTGGTTAAATGCAGCACTGCAGGCTACTGCTAGATCAGCAGTTCAGAAGTTCAAATCTCACCGGCTCAGGGTTGACTCAGCCTTCCATCCTTCCGAGGTGGGTAAAATGAGGACCCAGATTGTTGTTGGGGGCNAACTCAGGAATCATTACAGAAACAACTCAACTTTTCCTCCCAAAATAAAACAAAAGAGAAACGAAACCAGCATTTGTATATGTAGCCATTCCTGTACCATCAAACAATATTTATGTTAAACAGGCTTCAACACTCAAGGGATAGCAGGGGGTAAGAAATGCAATTTAGCCCAGGTAGCCAAATACGGTACCTGGGAAATAGCATTTCAAACCATTCTGAGAGACACTTGATCAATTCACTATAAATGAGGTTGGAAATTCCAATTTCTGCACCCCAGATTTTGCAATTATTCCAGTTTAATATTAAGAATAGGGGGCACAATTGCTCAGTGGTTAAAGATGCTCAGCTTGTCAACTGGAAAGCTTTTCAGTTTTGAGATCCAAGCACCGTGCAATGGTTGAGATCTTGTTCTAGTTCCTGCCCACCTAGCAGTTTGAAAGCATGCAAATGCAATTGAATTAACATTAAGGTAACAGCATTTTGTGTCCCTTTGCCATATATAGCCATGCTAGCCACATGACCAGATAAATTGTCTTCAGACAATGCTGGCTTCCTTGGCCCAAATATGTAGATGAGCACTGTGCCCTAGAATCAGACACGACTGGACAGGAAAACCTTTGCCTAAGAATACCTAACTGATAACTATGTAGTCTTTGTATTCCTGATCTTGCCCCTTTGCAAAGTGTTGACAATATGCTCTCCAGTTAAATGTTATTCACAGTTACCACTGAGACACAGGATAGTGATGAATTCTGAGTCACAGGACTGTTTTGCATGGTTAAATATGTCTTATTCCTTGAAATAACATTTAAAGGCATCTGCCAGATAAATTCTGAATTGTAATGCTATCGGATCAAGTTCTTGTGATATTGGTTCCCAGGAACCTTTTTGTTACTTTATTTTCTGTGTAAGATCTTTGTTAGTGACAGGTCCATATGAATGTAGGAATAGAAAAATATAACCATTTTTTTTAAAGTTACAGTGAAAAGCCCAGCAAAGCAAATATGTCATTTATTTTCAGAAACAATGCTGTATTCCTATTTAGAATTTCACAGCATGAGAAATAGCCCTAAAGATAGGTTTGACAAAAATCTATGAGCTGCTATAACTGGTTCAACTGTCAATGTTTCTACATATTGATATTTGTTCCAAAAAATTTATTAAAATAATTACTTCTATATATCATCCACTGACTCTCTCTGTCTTCTCTATATGAAAAATCTGCCTCTATTGACTGTTCTCGGTGATCCAAACCCTTCCCAACAGAGTTCAGAGATCATTATCAGTAACACAACAGTTTATTCTTGACTCAGAAAAGTATTTTCTTCATTTAATATATTTCTGATCATAGATGGATAATAATAATAACAATCTTATAACCTTATTATGTTTTGTATTTGTTTGATATACTTCACATTAGCACCAGTAATTTAATCTGAAGATATATTCATGCAATATTCTAATGTCTGTTTCTTGCTATTTGGGTATATCCAATTCTACAATGAAGTCACCTGTTGAGATTTGAATTATGGGCAATGATTGTTGATTGCTTTGATCTTCTATAATCAGATTTCAAGCAATATGAAATTATTTTGACATCTACCACTTTTTTTTTTAAGCATCTGGATCCATCTGCTTCTGTCTGAATTATTTCCAACATAAACTCCAAAGGAAGAAATGCCAAATGACTTCCATGTTGTTTTGGTACAACAAAGATGTTTGCAACAAAGATGATTAGGGTACCGAAGGCTAAAACATATGAACGGTTGCAGGAATTGGGTATGTCTAGTTTAATGAAAAGAAGGACTGGGGGTGACATGATAGCAGTGTTCCAATATTTGAGGGGCTGCCACAAAGAAGAGGGAGTCAAACTATTCTCCAAAGCACCATTAAGGAAGACAAGAAATAACAGATTGAAACTAATCAAGGAGGGAAGCAACCTAGAATTAAGAAAAAAAAATTCCTGACAACAATTAATCAGTGGAACGACTTGCCTCCAGAAGTTGTAGGTGATCCAACAATGGAGAGAATGGACAACCATTTATCTGAAATGGTACAAGGTTTCCTGCTTGACTAGAAGACCTCCAAGGTCCTCTCCAACTTTGTTATTCTGTTAAGAAAGTTACATACATAAGATGTATTTCCTTGTTGGATGAAAACTGAACCAAAATGAATAGTGGAATAGATTGGCCTTTACTTCATAGCCTCTTAGGATTTTTCTAGCTTCACTTTCTCTTCCTGTTATTTTGAGTATATTTATAGAAGGTTTGATTTATACTCTGGCACCTTTGGTTTTTGGCTATGTTTTTAGTATAGCCACACTGGCCCTTTTTTTTTTTTTTTTTTTTTTTTTTTTTGCTGTTCTCCATTTTTAAAACGCGAAATCTTTCTGCAGTTGTGTTTATGTGCCAATCCACCTTCAGCACCATTTTTATTTAGCATCTACTTATGAAATTCAACTTATTCTTGCTCTGAGTTTACTAAAATCTGCTATTCTTAGCTACACTTCAGCTATAATTTCTCTTAAAATTAAAAATGACAGGATTATCTTCTGCAATGATGTTTTTTAAAGATTTAAAGCCCTTTATGCATAGTTCAGATTATCTGAAGAACCATCTCACTCCAATGGAATTGGTCTGCCCCATCCATGCCAACTGTGGATGGACCCTGTCAGTCAAGGAATTCTGGCTGGTGGGTTCCAGGAAGAAAACTTTTTTCTGCCATGGCTCCTACCCTCTGGAACATTGTGACTCCCAAGGCCATATCCACACCCCAAGGGACTTGAATATCTGGCTCTGCCAACTGGGAACATGTTATTCTGGAGGTGGTTAATGGACTAAGGTAAGAACCCCACCTCCTTCCTATGTGCATCTTGCTCCCTACCTCCCCAACTTTGCTTATTTTCAAATAAATTTCAAGGTTAATATTTATTGTTGCCAACTCTATTGGGAAAGATTGGAGGAGTTATGTGATTACTCTACAGATCTCACAAGCAAGAGATGGAAGGCTATATAAAGTTAACAAATACATAAATGTTAATCCTTGGAAAGCTTCATAATTTTCAAACTCTCCTCTGTGCATATTGGTCAATCCATGCCCCATTTCAAAATTCTATCTCAAAAGAATTATGTCCTTCCCTGGTTCTCCAGTCTTCCAACTGGACAACTCCTTATGGAAATTATAAACTTTTAAACATTATGAGCAATCTGTGTTTACTGCCATTTAATTTTCATTTCTCTTACTGGCTAGGTAAGGCATTTGGAGAACAAGTGGGTTTGTAACTTTATGCCACAATATGTCTTTTCTTGCATCTCTACCTGTGACAGGTTATTTACTCATGCTACCGGCTGAGGTCAAGCCAGGGCAGAAAAATGATGGATGAGCTAAACATTGCCTTGCAATAATGAAAGATTCCTCTACTTAACCTGAATCTCTTGTAGCTTTTCTCTCCCATCATGTAAGATAAACTGAGAATTAAGATAAATGAAGACATGTTTGATGTCCATTTTGCTGTGTTTCATGGGAGGCTGGGACAGGGTTTGATTTATATGGCGCAGAAGGTTCCTCACTAAAATATGATGACACAAACACAGTCAAGGAAAATCCTGGAGAACTATGTAATTCCTGATGCCTGGCCAGATCTGGTCTTTATATTTTATTGGCAAAAGCCCATCGTTACTGAAAATGAATTGGTAATTCACTTCAGAATGCCGCTCCTGTGTAGAAGAAATTGAAAAGTGCTTAAACTGGGTGCTACACAAACATATGAATGGCTTTCAGCCAATGCAATTCATGGCAAAAAACAAAATTGAATATAATTTGCAACCCACTCACATTTTTATGGATTAATCTAAAATACACGAGATGCTGATTGAACCCAAAGTTTAATGTATAGAAGCACATCTTATCATCTAAAAATCAATAGATAGTTGCAATTTACACAAGTTATTTAGAACTACAGTTTGTCTTCCATGCAGTACTCAAAATCTTATTACTAATTAACTGCTGAAGTAGAGCTAGATATGTCAGTGGGCATGGTTTCACTTTTTTTTTCTTCCTTAAGAAAATAACAGGAAATGGGAATGTGATATGATTTGGACCAGAGGCATTTGCAGAATAGCCTTTCAGAAGGTTTAGTTATGTTTATTCAAGACAAAATGCATTCCTCTAGCATAGTTGGAAGAGATGAAAGCAGAATTTCTTATCCTTTCCACTACTGAATAGTTGCTCTTCCATTATCTGCTAAAAGTTGCTAAAAAAAAAAGGTTTAAAAAAATTAAAATATTTTATTAAATCAGATTAATATATTATCATTGAGGTATTACCCAACTCAGTGGAATAATGCCACTGAAATGTATGCCCAGCCAATGATCACTAATGATGACTATTCTGAAGGAATGTAACACATTTTTTTTGGAAAACAATAACATGAATTAAAATTCGAGTAGCATGTGACTTCACCTCCTGAGGAAGAAACAGCGAACTGAAGATGTCTCTGCTAGAAGCAGAGCTGACAACTGATGGCGGTGAAATGAAAAGCTGGTGAGAAGATTAGCTCTTTGTAGTTCCTCTCCCAGACAAGGAGAGGACTTGAGATCATATACATGGTATTGCTATGTGTCTAAATATTTGAGTACTGGTGCAGTACTGCGCAGGTCAGTTACTAAATAAAACTCATCAGATGGCAAATAGCATCTTTACTCTAGGCCTTCCATAGTGGAAAAGCAAGAGGTTCTCTCCTACCAGTGGGGACTCAACCTTCCAGCACTTTCAGCCAGCTGAGAAACAATTGCCAGGCACTAGTACAGTGATGGCTAACCTTTTTGCCTTTGCGTGCCAAAAGCAGGAGGGGCACAAGGGGGTGGTGTGCTCATGTGCCCTCCCCCATGCTTTTGGTGCACAATTGCATGGTGGACTTGTTTTTTGCCCTCCGCAGGCTCCAGAGAATTTCTAGGAGCTTGGGGTGGGCAAAAAAAATGGCCTCCCCTGCCACCCCCACAGGCCCTCCGGAAGCCGGAAACGGCCTGTTTTCTGACTTCCAGGTTGCCTATAGGGTCATTTTTCTCCCTCCAAAGAAACAAGAGAGAGAGAAAGGGCACTACGTGCAAACTGGAAGTCCGTTCCCAAACTTCTGGTTTGTGTGTTGGGTTCTTTTTCACCCTACAGAGGATTCAGGAGGGTGAAAAATGGCCGAAAATGAAGGCCGAAATCAGCTGGCCAGTATTTGCATGTGCACTGTAGCTGACAGAGCAACGTCTCATGTGCCCTAAGAGATGGTTTCACATGCCACCTGTGGCAAGCATGCCATAGGTTCCCCATCACGGCCCTAGTGCAATAAAGAATGGAGAGTTCTCAATTCAGGTTCCACCACAAAACCGTGGTAGACTAAAGCGCGTGTGACTAAACCGCNATACCGCTTCATAGGGCTTTCAGCCCTCTCTAAGTGGTTTACAGAGTCAGCATATCGCCCCCACAGTCTGGGTCCTCATTTCACCCACCTTGGAAGGATGGAAGGCTGAGTCAACCTTGAGCCGGTGAGATTAGAACTGCTGAACTGCAGAACTGTAGTCAGCTGAAGTAGCCTGCAGTGCTGCATTTAACCACTGCGCCACCTCGGCTCATCAAGCTAGGCCAACCAACCTACACCCACAGAACCGGTAATAGAAAAATTTGAATCCCACCACTGGCCAGGAGGCATAATCACACTGTAGTGTTTGTGGATGTGCCTCTTCCCTCTTCTTCCCAGTAGCTGCCTTTACCTTTTTTACCTGGGAAGGGGATCCATAGGGATCAAATCGGACCTGAAATTCGTCCCACTAAAATATTTGAGCATTCCAAGGGACTCTTTCCTGTCTAGTATACTTCAAATCCGTTTTTTTTTTTCTGCTTCGCTTCCAAAGTACACTTTTCATGATAGGTCATTCTGAGTGCAAAGGATGAACTCAGCCACTGTTTGGCATTTTCACAGAGAAAGGAACAGTTTTTTTCAACTCACTCAGTGCTTCCCATTCTTTCTCCTACCTCCTAGAGCTGCATTTACCATGAAGCCTATAAGAATTCAATGGTTGCAATGTTGGCATTGCAAAGATCAGACTGATGGTTCAAAATCTAGCTTTTTTTAAAAAAAAGATACTATTTTTATTTCCTGTGCTTCCTATGCTTTTCTGTATTTTTTGTTCTGCTCTTTGAGAACTCAGGGTGAAATCCTTCTGGGTTCAGTGATGGGGGAAAAAATATGAGATAGACAACCACAGGGCATTTTAAAAAAATGGAAAAAATAGGAAGATTAGTATAAGAAAAATAGTCACATTAAGACAATCCTGATAGGTTTTGAACCCCTAGTCCACTGCTTGGAATGCAAGGGTTATAACCACTGTGATATTACAGCATTAATAGTAGAATGTAGTTTTAGGCTGAGAAGAAAATTGAGTGAGAGATAAACAGTGTTTTCTTTTGAAGGTTCAAATATTTCTCTCCCTTAGTTTGGTAGGCTAGCTCAGGACTTCCAAAGAGCTTGGCACTTCTAGCATTGCAAACTATGAATAAAAGTAAGCACTTAGAAGAAAAAACGGAGAAATACATTTGGCTTTCATCCACTTTGCAGTTGATTCCACTCCTGGCCTACAGTTTTGCCTTCAGAATGGAACTTCACAAGAATCAACTGATCTCTAAAGTTTACCACATGCTAATATATAAAGACAAGGACAGAATGGAAAAGGCGTTCAGAATTTTTACTCTGCTTTAGTTTAGCCACAAGAAGGGAATTCTAGCAGTTTAAATGTGCTTGGATTCTCAAAAATTGTTTGTGTGTAGTTTACCATATTATTCAATTTCATTTGTTTCATCAGCCTGTAAACTGCCCTTATAAAAATATTTCTATACAACAAAACTTGACAACCAGCTCTGAATTGGACATTTCTTTGGCATGCTACTTGCAAGAAGGTATATATTGAGAATCTCTCTGATCTTTCAAAACCTCCTGAGAATTTATTAGCATTCTTATCTACAAATGTCTTTATTTAATAATAAAAAAATTGGGGGGGAAGCATGCATGAAATCTCATTACAACAAAGCAAACTTATGCATGTAAAATCAATTCTATTGAGGTCAACTCAAATGGGTTTTAATGCAACTAAGCTTAATGTTTTCAGGTAAATAAATACAACATTGCATCCATGCAATATAGCCTTATTTTCTCTTTTTGCTTCTCCATTTTATTTATGAATGGAATAAGCTACTTCCCTATCAGATGCTTCTGACTATTTCTTGAGTTTTGATTTACAAATTTATCCATACTCTTTCTCTCACACACACATATACACACCGACACAGAGATACAGGGTTGTACCATAAGAAAGTATATATTGCCTCTGACAAGAATGTAGAAATAACACCCGACTTAAACCTATATTTTTGCAACTCAAATTTTCAGATATTTGGAAAATGAGGTAAACCATAAAACAAGGTCAGTATTTTGCACCGCTAAACTTCTAAGGAAAACTCTCTTTTTTAAACAACTCCAAAACCATTCCAAAACTACCAATCCAATCATTGTCAATATAGTTTTAACAAGATATTCAATATTCTCACAACAATTCTACCAGTTCTCTTACCCTGTTTCCCTGAAAAAAGACCTCCCAGGATATTGAGCCCAATCGGGCTTTTGAGTGCATGTGCTAAAATAAGCCCTCCCCTGAAAATAAGCCCTCCCCTGAAAATAAGCCCTCCCTGAAAATAGCAGCCATGAGGTGACCACGCTCGCCACTTCCTGCACCTCAAAAATAATAAGACCTCCCTGAAAATAAGGCCAAGCATTTATTTGAAGGGGAGAGGTCAAAAGAAAATAAGACATATTTTCTGGGAAACACGTTTAGGTATTCAAATCTATCCACAAGGAAAGTATTCATGCCATTCAAGCTGTAGATCTCTTTGCATATTAAAATATAGCATCTTACCTTCGTAGATAGCCTTGAATCCTTGGGCGCTGACGGCAAAATCAGTTGTAAAACAAAGCGTCAGAATAGAACCTGTGCTCACAAGAGATGATGGCAGCTGAAATCCAGAAAGCCTGCAAGATAAACAAATGAAAGAGATTTTGGGGTGGGGGGGAAAGCAGAGGAGACTTTAAAAAAAAAAAAAAAAAAAAAAAGAATGAAACTAAATAATCTCACTGAACTTGTTGGCTACCTAAAATATCTTCTTTGGTGACAAAATAAATAAATAAATAAACTGAAACTTGGGGGAAAAAATAATGCTACGTGAAGTTCATTTTTGGAGAGAAAAGTCAATTTGTGTTCGATTTAGAACTTTCAAAACTAATGTGCAAACTCGAGGTTGTCATTTCAAGATCAGCAGCATGTTGATGTTTCCAAAGGCTCATGAAAGTCCCACTTCATAGAAGATAACAGATTCTGAACATCATCATCTGATGAGCGATATCAAGTGACCCTAACAACTGAGGACTTTTTTCTCCCTTGTTGCAGGAAAAAAAAAATCTCCTCTGTAAGTTTTTTGAAGACCACAAATGGAGAAAGCATTATAGTTTGACAAATGATTTTGAAAAACTGGTTCTCCCATTTCAGCACTATTATGAACGGATAAAGCCAGAGTGAATTGTTGCTGCTTCTAGAATTCTATGCCTTTCCAGCTATAGTTCTACCTGCATGAAAAGGCATGCGGTATTTGTGCTTATTCCTAGATTGCTTTTAAAGCTCAGGGGGCTTCCAAAACAGCTCACAAAGAGCCCCTTTTACACGGATGTTCTGGGCCGCAGCCATTTCCCCCCCCTGTCTCCTTGACAGTCTTGAGGGCACAGCTAGAACAAGAGAGAGCAGCAGGTACACCNCTTGAGCCGGTGAGATTAGAACCGCTGAACTGCAGATAACAGTCAGCTGAAGTGGCTAGCAGTACTGCACTCTAACCACTGCGCCGCCTCGGCTCTTAACTTCAATAAGTTCAGTAACATAGTTGTTAATGCTGGGAATGCACTACCTGACACTGTGGTTTCTTCTCCAAACCCCCAAAACTTTAACCTTAGACTGCCTACTGTCGACTTCATCCCCCTTCCTAAGAGGTCTTTAAGGGGCATGCATAAGTGCACCAGTGTGCCTACCATCCCCGCCCTAATATTCCCTTGTATCCATATTCATTTCATGTATTCATCATCTTGTCTATACTTATATCTGTTATCTAATTCATGCTCGATGAAATGAAACAAACACACAAATGTATAATAGCTAGATTCATGTTGATGCAGTAGTCATGTTACCTACGCCAAAGTCTCCCTCAGTTGCTGGCACTTTTGCCGAAAAAGGATGAAGTCTCCTTCTAAGGTCCACTTGTGTTTGTGAAGTCCGTCAGCTGTGTGGGTAGCCTGAGTGCTTCAAGGGGACTTTGGTAAAGAAGTCTTATAGCCAGGGGAGAATTTGTTTCATGGCCAGCATAACACCTGGTCACCCTAGAGCTGAAGCTCTGCTCTGCTTCTACAGTGGCTCCGTTTGCTCTACTCCTACAGAGTTGCTGGCATACCAACATCAAACAGGAGTCTAACATCCTACACACAGCAGCTGTCTGGTTCACCCACCTCATTTTTTTTTTTTTAAATTTCTTACACATCACGGGGGAAAAAACAGCTCTCTTCAGAAGTCCTTAAAGGTTGGAAAGATAAAAGGAAAAAGAAGAAGAGGATAACTAACAAGAAGTCAATGAAAGTAGGGATGGATGCAGATTGGAGGGTCACCTAACCACAGATGCCCTTTCTCTCATCATGGAAAAGGGGTATCTATGGGATTGCTTAGAATCAACACTGAGTTGATGGTGGTTCCACCACAAAACCGCGGTAGACAAAAGTGCGGTCAATGAAAGCGCGTATGTGATGTCATCACAGCGTGACGAAAAAGATCGAAAAATGTAAAAATAAAGCGAAAACCTTACCTTAACCCCTTTTCCA